GGGGCCGATGCATCCTTGCGCAGCGGCAGGCCCAGGTCCGAGGCAGCCCCCGGGACCCTGGTGGGAAAGGAGGCGGCCGCAGCCCGGCCTGCCCACCCAGAGACGCCTCCCACCTCTCCTCCTCGAAGCTGCTGCCGCTGGGGCAGGGGGAAGGGCTGGACTGGGCAAGTTCAGTCACGTCGGAGATGATTGGGCCGGAGTCGGGCGAGTACAGCTTGGGGCCGCCATACGCCGGGGCGGACGCCTGCAACGAGATGGAGGCCGGGGTGAGGCTTCCCCCGCTGGCCATGGGCCAACCAGCAGCCCACCCTCCCTGCAATGCCCTCCTCCCCCACCCCGGAGGCAAGCTAAACTCGAGGCCCTGTTCGCAGGGGAGAAGGAGCACTTGCCCGGGAGGGGCTCCTTCCTTACCTCCCCCTCCCTCCAGCAGAAACTCTGAGAAACCCCCCCACCCCCATCCCATGGCGACTCAGCCTGAAAGAGGATCGCGAGGCCTCTCCCCTGCAAAGCCTCTTCGCCAGGAGGGGAGAAGGGGAGGGAGATGAGAGGCAGAGGTGGCTCTTGGGGCAGCGGAGGCAGAAAGGCAGGCCGGGGTCCTATGAGGTGTTTAGCGCCAAGTCCACGCACTGGCACACAGTTCCTGGGTTCGCACAATGCTGCAAAAGCATTGGCAAAAATCAGGAGGAGTCCGGGCACCCCTTTCCTGATGAGCAAATTTTATTAAAAGGCAGAAACTTACGAGGTGAGCTGCAGCTTATGAAAGCTTATACCTTTTAATAACATGTTTGTTGGAAAAGGTGCGTCCAGACCCCTCCTGATTTTTTTCCCTCACACAAGGCCGTGCCGGGCTGCCCGTCTGAGGACTGACCGCAATGGCTGCTTTGCACAGGTCCCGGGACAGGCCTGAGTCCGAGGGGGCTGCAGCTGGCCAGCCTGGGCTGGGCTCAAGTAAAGCTAAGCAGAGTTGGGTCTGGTTAGTATTTGGATGGGAGACCACCAAGGAATTCCGAGAAATATTAAGAAGGAACAGAAGTCCCAGGAGACGACCCAGCAAAACCAATTCTGTGGAGCTGCCCAGAAACCGGATGTGACCAGTGGTGACCTGGGAGGCCGGGCTCCTGTACTGTGGGGAAACCCCAGCTGCGCAGCCCCCTTAGTCGAGAATGGTTGAAAGGGCAAAGGGATTGAGGCTGTCCCTGCAGGGGATGCCGTCCTCACAGAAGAAAGGCCTGCCCGGTGGCACCGGAAGGAAGAGGTGGAGTGGGGGCCAAGAGGCAGCTGGCCACAGAGGGAGCCGACCGCCGAGCCCAAGCAACACCCCCTCTGCCCAAGTAGAGCGCTTACCGAGTATGGGGACGGGCTGTGGAGGTGCTCCAAGGAATACTGCCGGCCGTACTTTGGCATGGCGTGGGGTGAACTGCTGTCGTTCAACATCAAGGGGCTGGAAGGGAGAGCGAGGGAGCAGTGAGACAGGGTCCCCGGGGCCACCGTGCCAAGGCAGACACAGAGCTTCCACCCTGCTTTGGCAGAGAAGCTGCCATGAACCATGCGCCCGGGTGCTCACGTACATCTTCCTCTTCACCCCAAGAATACGATTGGACTGCACCAAGGAAATCAAGAACTGGATAAGCTGCAGAAGAGAGGGAGAAGAACGAGGAGGAAGATGTGCACCGCGCATCAGAGGCAGGAGCTGTGAGGACCCTGCCCAGATGGCCCAGGCCCCACGGCAACCCCGGAAAGAACACGCGCTCGGATCGGGGAGCCTGCTGGGGGACGGCCGACGGCTTCTCAAGGCAGGGGTCTGGCTGAAGCCTTTGCTCCGGGATCTCATTCCTCAGGGCCCAAGACTGAGGATCTGGCCGTAATCCGCTCCAGGCTGCTTACGTGATTTTACGTGGATGGACTGATGCGCCTTAGACAGCTCTTGCCTGGGTGGGCTGCTGATTCACAGCATGGCCCTGCTCCCTTAGGCAGGGAGCAACTCTTGGAGGGGGGCAAACTTACCTTATTGACAACCTTCTGTTGCTGGGCGTGCTTCTGTCGCAAACTGGCCACCTCTCGCCACAGTGCCTCGTTCTCACTGAAAGAAAAGGGGTGACCCTGGTGTTCAGAAAGTCAGCCTTATTAGCTGCCCCTAAAAATGAGATGCTGAAAAAAGCTTCCTGCAGACAGTAATTCACGCCAAGCAGCTGGCAGTCCATGGGATGCCACAGCTAGGGGTTTGGAATACAGGTAGTCCTCGTTTAGCGACCGCAATGGGGACCGGCAATTTGGTCGTTAAGTGAAGCGGTTGCTAAGTGAAACCATGACTGTGCTTATGATCCTACTTCAGCTTCTTTACAGACCTGTGAAGGTTGTAAATGCGAGGATTGGTCAGTTACTTTTTCACCGTCGTGACTGCAGTCGCTAAAAGAGGACTACCTGTAGTGTTAGCCACCCACGGGATGCTTTGCTTTCAGAGAGAAAAGTGGAAAAGCCGTGGGGCCTGCCCACTCCATGTTTTGTCTGTTGATGCAGACTTGAGGGCGGTGACGGTTCACGGCCATCGCTTCCTGGCTCAGCAGCCCAGCCGTGGGATCTCTGCACGCTGGGGAGAGGTGGGAGTGCAGTTTTAGTACCCACACATATTACTTAAGTTTTTATTCTTTTATTACAAAAAAATTAAATGCACAATAGCCAAACTCTCTGGGTGGTTTACAATAAAACATACTAAAATAAAATCTGAATAAAAACATATAGATAAAGTCAAATAAAATACAAAATAAAAACACCGTATAAACTAGGCACTAGCACGGTGGTCATTCAGAACAAAAAGGTCTTCGCCTGGTACTGAAATGATGTTAATGTGGGGGCCAGTCGAGCGTCTCTGGGGAGGGGATTCCACCAATGGGGTGCCCCACAGGAAAAGCTCTCCCCCTCGTGGAGGCCCCCCTCGCCTCCTTTACAGAGGAGACTTGGAGGAGGGCCTCCTCAGATGATCTGAAGGTCTGGGTAGGCACGCAGGCCAGAAGGTAACTTGGTCCTAGGCCATTCAGAGCTTTAAAGCTCAAAACCAGCTCTGTGAATTGGGCCTGGAAATGGACTGTAGCCAGTGGAGATAGGGGAGAAAGGCCCAGTAGGTTTGTGCCGGCCACTCCCAGCGAGCAGTCTAGCCACTCCATTTTGAACTAACTGAATTTCCTGGACTGTTTTCAAAGGCAGCCCCATATACACCACACTGCAGTCATCCAACCAGGTTACTAGAGCAGAGTAACTGCTGCAAGGTCGTCTCTGTCCAGGTAAGGTTGCGGTTGGTAAATAGGCAAAGATGCCAAAAGGCATTCCACGCCACTCGGCTGGGCAGACGTGCCACCACACCCAGCATCTCTCTCTGGCCTGGATGGAGTCTCAGTTTGTTGGCCTCCATCCAGCCTCAATCCCTGTCCAGAACACCCACCGCCTCACCCGCGTTAGATGAAAAGCAGAGGTAGAGCTGGGTGGCATCCATGTACTGATGGCACCTCAGCCCGCATCACCAGATGGCCTCTCTCAGCGGTTCCATGCAGATGCGAAAGAGCACAGAGGATCAATGGAGCCCTGAGGGGCTCCGGAGCCTGGTCAGCCTGAGGCAGAAAGGCAACTCCTCAGCACCGCCTTTTGGAAAAGGTACCCAAAGAGGAGTGGAACCCCCATACTACAGCGGCCCCCATCCCCACTCCCTATCCAGCAGGACATGATGGTCGAGGGTATCAAAAACCGCTGCCTTTGCCTGGCATAGGCCATCCTGCAGGACAACCAAGGCAGTTTCTTTCCACAGCAAGGCCTGAAACCAGATTGAAATGTATCCAGAAAATCAGTTTCCTCTAAGAGAGCTTGGAGTTGATCGGCCACCACGCCTCAAGCATCTTGCCAAGAAGGGGAATACCAGCCACCGGCTGAGAATCGTTTTCTTCCTCTGGGTCCAGATGCGGTTTTTTCAGAAGCAGCCTGACCACAACCTCTCTCAATTAGGCATTTAGGACCTCCTGGGCCCAGCTGGTCAGCCCTTCCCTACTAGATTTGATCAACCAAGCAGGCCAAGGGTTTAGCACACCAGTGGCGGACCAAACACATCCAAGCACCTTGTCCACGTCCTCAGGCCTCAGCCACCGAAACTCAACTCAACTAAAACAGGACAGGATGGTGCTCTGGACACTTCACTTCTGGAACTGCGTTAACTGCAGAGGCCAAAGTATGAAGAATGTGAGCAGTTTTAGCTTCGAAGTGTCTCACAAATTTCTCACCGCAGGCTACCAAGGGTACAACTGCCTCTTTCTCTGGGCCAGATTGCAATAGGCCCCTCAACCTGCAGGAAATCTCCACTAGGCAACACGGAGAAGAGGCAGTGGAGACAAAGAAGGCTGGAGAACGGGCCCTAATCTGCATCATAGCTATTGCCCACTTGGTTCATAGCCCTCAACTCAGAGGTGTACCAAGGTGCTGCTCAGGCTCTACGGGCAGGGAGAGGATGCTCTGGAGTGATCGAGTCACCTGCCCAGGACAACCCTGCATTCCACAGACCAACCAGGGCGTTGACAGGAGCGCCAGCAGGAAATTCCCCCAGAGCCCTCTGGAAAAATCCATCAGTCACCAGGGCAGATCATCCTAACCGATCCCCCATTCTTGCACAGAGGAAAAGGTGCTGACAGTCTAAACTTCACCAGGGAATGATCTGACCATGACACAGGGGTCATTGTTAGGTCTCCCGTGTTCAGGTCACCTTTCTCCTGACTGGTAGAAAAACCCACGTCAACTATGCCCTGCAATCTGCGTTGGGATGTGGTTGTCACACAGCCACAAAGTCCTAGGTTGCTTCTGAACAAGTGTCCTCGGCACGGATGTTCAAGTCCCTCAGCACAATTGGTCTGGGAGTCCTCAATACCAGGCCTGAGACCAAATCCAGGCAGGGACACTAATGGGCACTAGGGTGGGTGGCACACCAAGAGAATCTGCGATGTCCTGCATGCCCAACACAAGGTACAGAGGTTCAAGAGTGGTACTCCACCTCCCCAACCCTCAAGTCTATGCTGGTGATAACCAGAGTGTCCAGGTGGGCATAGCCGGGAGAAGCACACTCCTCCCAGTTCACCTACCCAGGTCTCTGTTACACACACCACGTCAGCCCCTTTATCCACAATCAGATCAGATGAGAGATGTTCCATTCTGGACTGAGCTGGCATTCAACAAGCTGGTACAGCAACCAGGTACCTTCTGGATTGAGCAGGGGAACCAGAAGGAATAGGTGTTCTCCTTACCTGGCTAGCTGGCCACTCAGTGCCATATCTCCCCCTACCCATGCCACAGTTACAGTATAGGGACACCTAAGGCCACTCCCCAGGTTGTTCTATACACGTCCCAGGCACATAAGAAGAAATGGCCTCACGGCGCTTCAGGGGCTGGGGTGAGGCTGTTCCCGTGCAGCGTTCCTCCACAGCCCCAGCAATCCCTGTTGTTAGCACACACCAGTAGCAATGGTGCCAACCGTCGTCACTTTCACCTCACCTCCAGTCCCAAAATGGACACTAAATGGATAGGCTCGTGTACAAGATAGAAGATGAAATCAGATCAATATCATCACCCCAGAGATTCATAAGGACAAGACCCCCATGTAAGAACCGCAGTACTCAGTTCCCAACGAAAACAACCCTCGCTGAAACCAATGCAGGTTCAAAGGAAAGTTCATTCGTTGGAAAATAGCGAACAGCTCTAGAGCATAGCTGGAACTGAGTCCCAGCACGCCAAAACTTAGTTTTACCTCACTCCCATTTCACCCCCCCTTCTGTCTTTGAATCTCTCTTGCGCACACTGAAGACCCCTCCGGTTCTCACGCTGGCACGACCTTGGGTGTTCCTGGGAGCCAGGTAATGGCCCATCTGCGCCTGACGGTTCACCTTCCAATCTTCCCTCCCTTCCTCCCCGTCGCTGTAATGGCAGAAATGAAGCAAGCAGGGCGAGGGGTTGATTGTGAGGATTCTGACAGCCCCTTTGCAGGCCACACCAGAAGGGGGTGAGGGGATTGCTCTGCCTGGGCCAGCCCCCACACTGAGTTCTCGGCCCCACCCTTTAAGGAGGGCTCAGAGGAAGGGGAAGAGGCTTGGAGAAGGGCAAGGGGGATGAGAGGCTGAGCCCTGTCCGGAGGGATCGCTGAACGTCACTGAAGAACGCCAGACTCTCTTGTAAGGCGACTGGCAAGGGTTGGGCGGACCCTGCACAGCAGAGGCAGGAAAGGGGAAGGCCGAACCCACACCAGCTGGGGTGGGGCTGTGTAACCCAGCAAGATGTGAGGTGCGAGGTGAGGGAGAATGTGGGGAGTCTGAGAGGGGCCAAAGGGGAGTAAGGGGAGAGGCATGTGTACTTCCTGGGTGCAAAGTGGGTGTTTCTTGGGGAGGGGACAGATGGCCTGTGGGAACAGGCAAGGTGATCCCCACAGAACAAGCAGGGTGGGTGGCTCACGAGCCACAAGCTGGGGGTGCACATTTCAAGGGGGATCCGTGTTTCTGGAGCGGACACACTTCTGCCTGTTATCGTGCTTTTGGGCAATTGCTTTTCCGTTAGCCCCAGCGGTCTGCCTCTCCGAAACGAAATTCTGCCGAGGGGCAAAATGGCAGTTTAAAGAGCTCTGCTCCCTGAGGCGACAACTGGAGACCTTGGGCCACCGAGCCCTCTCCAGAAGTGCCCCTTAGTGGGAGGCCAGAGAACCAGCTGTGCGCACTGGGGAGGGAAGCTCTCACGGGGCCCAGCTTTCAACTGGGGAGGGCGCTGAAACCACCTGCCCCCCCCCGACCAAAAGTTACCATTTGCTGGCTCCCTCTCCTCCTTGGAGAGCAAGGTGTTCATTAGGATTAAGGGGGTAAAGAGTGTACCTTTATTCTTATTCTAGCTTAGTTTCACTCAGTCACTGGGTTTAAAGGGCAGGCTCGCAGATTCAGACAGCTGGTGATTCACCACATTGTGGGAACCCAGCCGCGTCATCGCATGTGGCGCGAACTGTCAGGCACTCCATTGTTCCTATTTTGGACACAGCAAGAATTCTGTAGTTAACCTGGTTTTATAGTTAGCATC